TAAATAATAATTATATAATAATATATAGTATATAATATATTAATAAAATAAATATATTTTTTTACTTTTATTATACTAATTTATTTAATTATTGTATATAAGCAATTATATACACAAAATTCATATAAAATTAAAATTTTAAGTTTTTTTGTCAATTTTCTTTTAAATAAATTGCTTTGGCCCGACCTAGCCCAAGGCTTGGCCCACGGCACGACCAGGCCTGGCCAGGCCAGCCTGGCCCACTTTATACCTCTACACCCAATCAAACAAGTTTACCTCATACACTCAATCTCTCTCTTCAATATAATTCTGTCACCACTTATTGCTATTGATGTTGCTGCGCTTGGTGATTGATGATGGTTACATCAGACCAATTTATGTATATTCTCTTACTAAAAGCCCCTTGATACATAATGGTTCACTTGGGCTGGAAATTGAATCACCACTCATCAAATTAGGAAATGGAAGTGATAGGACCTCTGGGAATTGCATTAAAACTCATTTTGATTTAATAGTGACTCTAAAGCCTGAGGCATCGATTAAACCAATCTGGATAAGACTTGAATGAAAGAGAAGATGTTAGACACCCCTCTCCCAAGTCCGATAAATGGAGCCCACATGGGGTTCCAAACACAATCACAAGTACATATTCATTTAATAGATCAAAATATGCCAATAACAAAGAAAACAATTACTTAATTTACAGGCAAGTAGGTATACCCCTTCTAATTACTTAAGATGAATGAGTTGACTCAAATATGAACCAACAACTAAAATTAAATAACCACAATCTAAAATGATCGTCAGTTAGCAATTAATAGAACTAACAAGAGATAGCACAAATGATAGAAGGATAGAAGATTAATTTTATGTTTAGATTCAAAGCACATCGATCCTCCCCATTCAATCAGTCTAACTTCACAAGGAAAATAAACAAAAAAGTAACCAACAAACAAACTGGTAATAGTGGTGAGCCGGGACACAAAATCAAAACTAGAAAGATGGCATATAAGAAAAATTCATGTCAGTTCTCCAAACAACCTAAGGATGCGAGAAAATTTATAACTATCAAAGGAAATCAAAATAACAAACAAAAATAAATAAATAAAGCAAGAAACCATGACGGGATTTGGGTTGGGGCGAGAGCCTATAGGAATTGGTTTTACCAGTTTCGTCGAGTCCCCCCTTCCTTTAAGCCCCGATTAGTTTATGATACAAGTAAAATAATAAAATAAGATGATACAAGTGGGTATTTTAGAGTATCGGGGATTTGGTGGTAATGTCTGATCGGTTCAGGAGTGTCAAGATTGTGAGAATTTGAGTTAATGATAGGATTTGAAACAAAATCTTTGTTTAATGGAAGGATAAATGGGAGAATCTTGGTTGAAACTTTATGGGCAGGTATTTTGGTGTATCTAGGGTTTGATCGTATGATCTGATTGGCTTAGATGTGTTTGGACCAAGAGAATCTAGGTTGTAAGTGTTATAGGCTAACGAAAGAAGTCAATATGAAATCTTTACTTGATGAAAGGGTAAACAAAGGAGTTTTGAGGTGAGATTTGTTGGGTGTGTATTTTGGGAGGCCTTGAGTCCAATGGTGGTGTTTGATTTGAGGGTCAAAGTGTAGACGGGGGTTGATTGAGGCCATCATTTTGGTATCAGGTAAATTTAACGGTGCATTTAAGGATTCTTGAGGCAAAATTCAGGTTCTTTGGGTTTGTTTTGACATTTCATAGTGATCAGAATGGTCTAATCGGGCATTCAAGATAAATTAAGGATTCAAGCGATGGATTGAGCAAAAATCAGGTACTAACAATATATAATAGAGAGGCAAATTTTTGTCTAATTTCTTATGAGCCCAAACGCCTTGGAGTTGTAAGCTTGGATTTTGTTGTTTCTAGCGTACGTGTTCATGATTTTAAGTGGCTGAAGCAAATGGCTAGACATATGTCTTCTACCAATTCATAGGATCGATATAATATTTCCAATATTCATCATCATATGAATGTTGTTGATCCAACTTCTGTGTGTAATATCTCTAGTGTCCACCGTCAAATGATTGTAGCTAATGCTCTTGATTTAGAGGGGCTGAGGGGGAATAAGCTCGAAATCACTCCCAAAGGAGCCATGGTTGTTCTTAATTGAAACTATCAAGGTTTGAGGAGCTATCCTATAGTTCCATATTAATTTGAAGAAGCTCCTTTGTACCAAAAAGCCTGAATTTTTCTTTCTATCAACAATAAAATGACATGAGAGGAAAGGGTTTGGTGTTGGGTTGGGAGAAATTTTATTCACCTACAAATTATTGACTCTTCTCCTGATCATGTTTGTGTTAAAGTTATAAATCATCCATGTTTTTGCATATGGTTTTTATGTTGTTTTTATGTACATCCCAATTTGGAGGGATGCATGCCAACACTTTTTTGATTTTTTATCAGCAATTGTTAGTCAATTGAATGGACTCTTATATGTTTTGGGTGATTCCAATCGCACTCTTTATGTATGTGAGAAGAGAGTTTCGCTACGGTCAGGGCAATGCCCATTCGAACAGCCTTTACAGCCTTACATTGAAAATATTTTTATATTTATATATTTTATTTCATGGAGAGACATTCCCAATGCAAAGTTGTAAGAGGCTGTTTGATCGTAGGGTGTGAACACGGGCTTGCCCTGACCGAAGCCAATCTCATGAGAAGATGGGTGGTTGGTCTCCAGGTTAGGGGGGAGATAATCCAGTTTTGGGATGCCATTGTTGCTAGTCAACTATAGGATTTGGTTTATCAAGGTTCCTAATTCACATGGTGGAATAATCGTTATAGGGGTCTTATACATATGAGATTGGAATGTGTTAGAACATGGGCCATGGGTTGCCTTGTTCCCTAATGATACAGTCCGGCCACCACCTTGTACACGTACATAGCTAGTGTTCACTCTTCAATTCTCCTTCAAATGTTTCATCACTCTACCAGATTGGCTCTAGAAGATGTTTTGAAGCAATCTAGCTTGAGGGCCCAGATTTCCATGATCTGTTCAAAGATAGACACCTGGTGCTCACCTTTGGGTTCTTTCACTGATGAGTGTGCTTCTATTATCAATACTTTCAAGGTCAAAGGTGGTGTCATTGGTTCCAGTTGACATATAATACAGGAATAGGAGCAACATCTACAGAATATCCAACGTACTACATTGTCTTCTACTAATTATCTTACATATCTCAGTTGTGCCATGAATTAGAACAATGGTTTAATAAGGAAGAGACAAAGTGGATGTATCGTGTCTGGATCAATTAGCAAAGAGACGGAGATAGTTGGCTCAAAAATGAAGGTGGTTATGGTAATCAAACGTTTTCTCCCAATGCAATATCTTCAGCCTTATTATCCTATTTTAAACATTTATTTACCACTTCCTCCCCTGTGCTTGATGATTTTATTGAGTTGTCCATGAAGATCACCAATGCTGATAATTCTACCCTATGTTCTATATCATATGAGATTAATTTAGATTAAAAACACACTTTTCAGTATGGGAGCCTTTACACTTGGGCCTGATGGTATAGGGGTGTTCAAATTCAGCTATCAAACTGAAAATTGAACCGAACCAAACCTAATAAGTCTATTCATTTTGGTCATTTTGGTTTTTGGTTCGGTTCGGTTTGAGAAGAAAAATCTACTGGACTGAACTGAAAACCAAATTAATCAAAATAAATACATATATTTATATTTTAATTATAAACATTAATAATATTAACATTAGCATTAATATATATTATTATTACTATTTATATTAATAATAATATATAAGATGTATTTTAGTTATAAATGTTGATATATTTTATTAATAATTATAAATATAACATACATATAACTAACCAAATTAACCAATTTAGAACCAAATTTGGTTCGGTTTGGTTCAATTTTCAAGTCTAATTCAGATTATTTTGTTCATGAAAATGGTCAAATCGAAATGTCAGTTAGGTTCTATTTCCAGACCAAACCGAACTGAACTGACCAAATGAACACCCCTACCTGATGGTATACCGGTTGGAATCTTTCAATCATTGTAGAAGCCCCCCAAACAGGATCTTTAATTATATACATATATGTCAATTAGTCTAAAGTTCAAATAACATGAGAGGAAGTGGGCTTAAAAGCCTGAAATAATACATGAAATTCATGTGTTTTTTTTTTTTTTTTTAATTTCAATTGACCCTACTCAAATGCATGTAACTCTGCCCCTTGCTTGTAGTCTTTCCACTAGTTCACATGGGGGTCCAACCTCCGACATGATTTGTGACCACATCATTAAGGTAACAAGGCCATAGGTCAAAATTTTTCAAAATTGGTAGCAGATAACTTGTTGTTTATTGAGCCCAGATTTCCTACTCATTTCTTATTCATCGTGAATTGCAGTCACACATTTTTCAATTCATAATAGAGATGTATGGCTGCAATTCACAGTGGGTAGAGAATGGATAGGAAAGTGAGTAAAAAATCCCGTTTATTGTTTATTGGCATTTTATGTTTGAGTAAGTTATAAGGGGTAGTGACATTTAAGCCACCCCCAAACTTTCATTTGTGACAAAGGTAAAATTACTTTGCACTTGTTTTGTTAGTGAGTTTGATGGTAAGGCTAAAATTACTAAAATGCCCATTCAAATTTTGATGGTACGAGAGAATAGAATATCAAGTTAAACAAAAATAGGCATGTTGAAGCACAATATCTATAGTTGCTGTTTTTAGTTTTTTTATGTTTGCATTTTTTAGTGTTTTCTATTTCTATATTTTGTGTGTGTACTTTCTTATTTTTCTTTGTTGTAAGTTTTGTATTTTTTTCTGTATTTGTATTTTGTTGTATTTTCCTTTTTCCTCCGTTTTTTTTTTGTTGTATCATAATTACCCCTTTTTTAGCTGTGGAAATGTGGAACCAATGATAAGGTTCCACGCCAGATAAATTGCTAAAGCCTTCAGATAACCTTGCTCTTTTCAGTTTTCATTTTTTCAACATCCCAGTGGCTAGTACCGGAAGAAAACTGGCCAGTCCGGTTCTGATATCAGAACATTAAAAGAAAATCCGGTTCTTTTTTTGGTCTTTCCTCTCCTTCTGAACTTAACTCTCAGAGAGAGAGAGAGAGAGATTTGATTGGGCATAAAAGAAACGATGATCGGAGTGGGGAAAATCAAGCAGTACAGCAACGTCCTTGATAAACCCCTCAGCAGAGGCAAACAAGAGGTTTGATTGGTTTCTCTTCCTTTCTTTGTAATTCTTCTTTGCACTCGCTCTAGTTTATCTATTTCCTGATTTTGCCCTAGAAATTCTCTATTTCTGCTGTTGGTTCCATCTATTAATTGATCCAATTGCAGTTTAATTATTATCTTGAGGCTTGTTTTTCTTCATATTTCAATATCTCTCTATATTGCTTATGTGATTTTTCATGCTGTCAATGGAAAATCCGGAACATTTTTCATTTTTGGAATTTTTTTCTTATAAGCAGTTCTGCTTGCAGGTCAGTCTGAGTGCATTCGCCTTCTTGTTTTCGGAGCTTGTTCAGTACAATCAGACTCAGGTTGACAACATTGCCGAATTAGAGCGAAGGTGATGACCATGATAACCTCATTGAATATACCATCTTTTAGTTATCGATGAAGAGTGATCTTGATTGATCCAATGCGAATTTTATCTGAGTTGCATTTGAGACTATTTCAATTTGATAAATGTAATATGCTGTTTAAAAGATCTCGAAGCAACTAGAATGCTGGGAATCTGATTATTGTGGTCACATTTAAGATACTCACTTTCTTTTTCAAAAATATTGTGCACTTGACGATGTCTTTGCATTGTTGGGCTATAGGAAGCAGTTCATATTTACAATTTAGGCATAGACTGTGACTTAATTGGATATATGGCTCAGGTTAGAGGATGCAGGCTATGCTGTTGGAGCAAGAGTTTTAGAACTTCTGTGCCACAGGGATAAGGTATTGCATATCTTAGTAGTTCTAAAAACATATTCTTTTCTTACATTCTATGATGGAAGCTTAAAGGGTTCATAAAGTTTCCTGCATTTTGAACTTCTACTTCAAGGACTCATAACACTATTAGTTTTTTGTTAGAAACCTATACTCATCTAAATGCAATTGGATCTGGATTTGAATAAACTGTATGATATTTGGACAAGCAAGTGACCTAGAAAGCTTGATTTTTTTACTTATCTTTATACCTGAGTGATTTTTGAAGTTCATAGGTTAGACCATGCATGCATTTGCAACTAATTATCATTCATATTTTCATGGGCAGGATATACTCTTTATCCTGTTTACTAAGAAGTATTTAGTCAATGGCGTTAGAAAGGCCTTACAAGATGAAAGTCGATTATCTATTTCCAAGTGATATTTACCTTTTAGTAATTTTATTTGGACTCCTTATCTGCTGAATGAGTGGATCAATGCTTGCATGTGATGTTGTGGGTTGACAGGAGAAGGGGATGCTATGTGGGACAACAAACCCAATTGGCTGAGATGACTCAGGAAATTGCACAAATGAGAAACTTAGTTATAACCAATATAAGGGCATAAAGAAGAAATCTCCTAAGAAAAAGATGAATATAAGTCTTGGTTGCAAATTCAAGCAAAGAAGCATGCTCAGCACACTAAACTGAAGATCCCAACTGCTAAAAGAAGGAATCTTAAATCACAAAGCCTTGTGGCAGGGTCGCAATCTGATACAATACTCTGGGGTGCCCCATGCAGTCTAGCAATTTCCTTTGTGAAGAGTTCAACAACCATAGGAGCAGTGTATGGATGGGGGATCACTGTAAGGCCTTACATTGGTGGGGGAAGCTCTGGGCAAGAGGGGAATTCAATGGTCATGCACATGGATAGGTGGTGAGCTTGGTGGTTTATGGGACACCTCAGAAAATTGGGTGAGTGCCCTTGTTAGCTGAGAAAGATATGGAGACTACATTGGGCCCAAGAGGCTGAGACAGAGTTAGGCCGACTACTATAGCCCCCAAATGCAAGAAAATATGGTTGTCCAGGTTCTGTGGTCTGTCTACAAACTGATGATATACTCTTTTGCCTTGATCCCCCATCCAAATGTCCTTGTATGTGGACCACTCTCCCGTTGTAAAGTCCATTGTCAAATGGGCCCAATCACACAATACTGAACCAAGTTGTTCTACCCACTGCATCCCCAAGACAACATTGGCACCACTGAACTCCAAAGGGTGTAAGTTGACCCAAAATTTGGGGGTTTGGATCTTCAATAACAGATTAGTACAGACCCCGTCACATTTCAGGTGGCTTCCATTGCTACGTGTACACATGAAGGCTGGGGTGGGCTGCACTACCAGGCCCAATTGCTTTATGAGGGCGTAAGTAATGAAGTTCATTGTACACCCGCTCTCAATCAAAATTGCCATGTGGTGTCCTTCTAGGAGCCTAGTTACCTGCATAGTCCTAGGGGAGGGCAGCCAGTAAGGGCCTGAAAGGAGATTTTGGGAGTTTCAGCCTCCTGAGTATCTGCCCAGAGAGTTGGGGTACTTGGGTCCATCTCTATGTCACTCCCTTCCTCCATATTTGCCCCATCAGTTTGTAACAAGAAGACTTGTTGGGCCCTGCAACGATGCTCAAGCCCAAACTTCACAATTGTAACATAACCCTTTTTCCCTTCTTCCTTGCATCTCATCCCATGTCAGTCTCTTAAAAGGAATATTAAGGCCAATTGGGCATGGATGTTGGTATTGGGTTCAAGTTTGTATTTAGGAGTTTGATTTGTCTGATTATAGATCCACCTACATTGAACAATATTATAGTAGGCGAGCAATGTTATTTAGTATCTCAATAGATTCCATCATTGATTATTTGATATTCAAAGAAAAACAAAGAAAAGTTGTAAACAAAGAAGGTGCAATTCTGAAACTCGAATTTGATATTAAAAACCTTGAACAAGGTTAAAGAGACTTATCTGGAAAGGCATGTCATAGACTAAAATTTGATTTTTTTTTCCTTTCAATACATTGGGCGACATCCATGTAAGTCGATGAATATCCAACCCATCAAAACTACTTACCATATATATATTGTAGAGAAGATGGGCCGAATGGCCCATAGGCTGTTTATCCTTTCTTATTTTTTTATGTTCTTTGCTGTAATGGGCCTTATTCTGGGCCCATTCTTTCTATGTTATGTTCTTTTAATTTCTTGCCCAACTAAGGGCCTCTTTGTAAATTATTAAAGTTTAACTTAATAAAGTAGTGTTAGGGGGTAAGAGGAGAGATTAAGGTTCGAAACTCTCTTTCTCTGAACCCTTATTGCCGCCATCTTCTTCTTTACCTTCTCTTCCTTAGAAGAATGGTTTCTGCATCTGTTCTAAACAGTCCTTTATTTTCAAAGACTGTTTTTTTCTTCTTGGTATCAGAGCAGACTCGTTTTTTCCCTCTTTTTGACCTTTTTTTTCTCATACACAGTGTGTATGGAGAACTGAACCGTACAGACTGTTAAAGGTCTCGGTTCTGCCCAGTTGTTAGTGGTTTCTGGAGAAAAGAGGACTGACTGTGTCGCCTCCTTGCCTGATTCCAGTGTTCTGCCCGAAACCCTAGTTTCCTGGAGAAATCTGTTTGCGAGCTCTGCAGGGTGTTTGGACTGGTTGCTCAGTGTTTGGAGGTTTTCTGTTTTTCTTTCTTGAAGACCGAACCAAGTTGGTTGGTGTTCCGTGTAGTCTGCAAGGTGCGGCTTCTGTTTCTGTTTCTCACAGCTTACGGGTATGACTTAGATTTGTGGTACTGCTGCATTGAGGTAGGCTTAACACAGTTTGTTGGTTCGGTTGTTATTAGTGTTTAAGTTAGTCTTATTTGTGTCTTATGTTTTTAGTTATTGGGCCCAAACATGTTTAATGTTTTAATTGTTTTATTTGTCTAGGTGTCCCATCACTAATCAGGGGCATTCTAGTTTGTTCATGTAATTATTTTATAATCATCTATATAAACTTGTTAGGTCGGCTGAAGAGTTTAAGCCGCCTCTCTCAGATCTTCTTCTCTTCTTCTTCTTCTCTCTTTTTCGACTGCTGTAATCCAGTAAACATGGTATCAGAGCCAGGTTCGTTTGTCTGATTACAGCAGCAACCTTTTGACCCTCCTTTTCTTCCTTCTTTTCCTTTCTCTTTTCTGTCTTGGTCGCTGTGAAGAAACCCTAGGGCTGACCGTAGAGCACAACAAGGTCTGTATCTAGGGTTTCCCTTGGTTGTAGGGCCCAAGGGGAGTTTGCTCCAGAAATCGATGCCGTACTAGACACCTTACAGCAGGTAGTAGCCATTCAGCTACTAAGAGAGATCTGTGTGGRACAGATCTAGGTGGAAGGGCTGACTTCGACAGTCCTAGTTCGGTTCGTACAGTTGGTCACAGTCTACTACAGCAGAAATCAAAGTCCAGTCCAGTCCAGAAGAGTTCAACACTGTACAAAAGTGGAGTGTTCTTGGTTTCAGTTCTGTTACAAGGGTTTTTCAGACCTGCAACAACTTCGATAAGTCTGAAATTGTGCTCTTTGTACTGAGTTTTTCAATTGTGATCACTGTAAGAGGAAGGGGATGTCTTCAATATCGGGAGAAGTGTTTTCTAGGGATAATAGACCTGGTGGGAGGTCTCCTAATCTGGAAAATCCAAATCTGCATATCTTGCAGATTACTAGTGTGCTGTTAGATGAATATAATTTTAGAGAATGGTCTGTTTCAGCCATGCTCTTCATTACTTCCCGGGATCTTACGGGTTATCTAGATGGACAGAAGAAGGAACCTGCAGTGGGTAGTGC